CCGTGGGCTACGTGGACGACACGCAGTTCGTGCGCTTCGACAGCGACGCCGAGAATCCCAGGGAGGAGCCGCGGGCGCCGTGGATAGAGCAGGAGGGGCCCGAGTACTGGGAGCGGAACACGCGGATCTACAAGGACAACGCACAGACTTTCCGAGTGAACCTCAACGCGGCGCTGCGCTACTACAACCAGAGCGCGGGCGGTGAGTGACCCGAGCGGAGGCCGCGAGCCCTCACGTCCCTCATGGACGGCCCCGAGTCGTCAGGGATCCCGGGCCGAGGGCCACCCCAGGCTGAGGGACCCGCGGGGACCCAGACCCCGAAAGCGCCCGGGGACTGGACGGTTTCGGTTTCATTTAGGGAGAACCCGGGGAGGGCGGGCGGGGCCGCGGCTGACGGGGCGGGGACAGGCTCTCACACCGTCCAGGTGATGTCTGGCTGCGACGTGGGGACCGACGGGCGCCTCCTCCGCGGGTACCATCAACATGCCTATGACAGCAGGGACTACCTGACCCTGAACGACGACCTGCGCTCCTGGACCGCGGCGGACACGGCGGCTCAGATCACCAAGAGGAAGTGGGAGGCGGCAGGTGTCGCGGAGCTCCGCAGGGCCTACCTGGAGGGGGAGTGTGTGGAGTCGCTCACCAGATACCTGGAGAACGGGAAGGAGACGCTGCTGAGCACAGGTGTGAGGGGCTTCACCTGCCTGATCCCCTGGAGGTCCCTCCTCCAGCTCCCCACAGGAGGGAGGAGAATGGCGTCCACACTACACACCTCCTGCTCCTTGTCCAGGGAGAGGGAGTGGGCCTGGACCCCCAGGGGCTGCCCTAGAGAGGAACTGGTGCCCTTGTCTCTCAGGACAAGTGACGGATCCCATCTCTCTCTCTGGCTGCTGGGAAACACAAGGAATACCTGACCACAGGTTCCTGTCAACAGCCTTGACATCAGGAACAGACTGTCAGGTCCACTCCAGCCTAGTGTCCTGGGAGGTCCGACTCCAGCTTTTCCACATGTCCCAGCCTCTACCTAAATCAGAATCCGAAGTCCATCGTGGGACCTGAAGCCTCCTCCATTGGGATATCTCAATCTGATTCTAGAACTTTCCAAGGAATAGATTATGCCAAAATAATCAGTTCCTGCTTGTGTCTAGGTTTTGTGCTCCTCCCCACCCCAGTAATGTCCACTCTCAGGATGGTCATGTGAGCACTGCTTCAGTGGTCCATAAGGAATGCCAAAAATGTCTGAATTCACCTGTTCTTTCGGTCAGACCCCCCAAAGACGCATGTGACTCACCACCCTAGGCCTGAAGGGGATGTCACTCTGAGATGCTGGGCCCTGGGCTTCTACCCTAAGGAGATCACCCTGAACTGGCAACGAGATGAGGAGGACCAGACCCAGGACATGGAACTGGTGGAGACCAGGCCTACAGGGGATGGAAACTTCCAGAAATGGGCAGCTGTGGTGGTGCCTGCTGGAGAGGAGCAGAGATACACATGCCATGTGCATCATGAGGGGCTGCCTGAGCCCCTCACCCTGAGATGGGGTGAGGAGGGGGTGAGGGCACAGAGCCTGTTGTCAGGAAACCAGGAGGCTTTCTGGAGACCCTCAGCAGGGTAGGGACTGAAAGCTGCCAATCAGGGCCCCTCACCTGACTTCCCTTTCTCCCCCAGAGCCACCCCCTCAGGCCACCAGCCCCATGGTGGGAATTGTTGCTGCAGTAGTTCTCCTTGGAGCTGTTGTCATTGGAGCTGTGATCTATTTTGTCAAGTAGAAGAAGAAAAACACAGGTAGGGAAAGTGCAGGGTCTGAATTTTTGACCCACTGATGGTTTCAAGTACCTGGTAGAAGTGTGCCCTGCCCTGTTAATGGGAAGTAACATCTACACTTGTCCTTACCCAACCTGGACCCTGTTTACTTTTTGTAAAGTGCATAGAATCTAAAGGACAATGTATCCTCTTGATTTTTGTGGTGATGGGACCTGATTCCCAGCATTTAGACGCCAGAGGGGAATCTTCCTGCTGAGGACAGACCTCCAGGAGAGCAATTGGCTCCATCCCTACATATCTACTTGCTTCCTGTCTCCTGATGCTTCCCTAAGTCTGCAGTCACAGATCTGGAGACTGTCCCAGTGTCCAGCACTAGGGGGCACCTGTAAGACCTATCTCCAAACTGTTGTCTCACAGGATGCTTTCTTCCCTCAGGTGTAAAAAAAGGGCCCTATGCTCCAGCTGCCTGTAAGTATGAAGAACACTGATCCCTGAGACCCTAGGAATAGTCTAGTGGGGAGCCATGGGGGAGCTGATCCACCCATAATTCCTCCATTACCCACATCTCCTGTGGGCTCTGACCAGGTTCAGTTTTTTTGTTTTTTGTTTTTCCTGCTCAGGTAATGACAGTGCCCAGGGCTCTGATGTGTCTCTCACTGCTGAGAAAGGTGAGACTCTGAAGAGGGAGAGGGGTTGGGGAATGGAGAGACTCCTGGGTTACAGGGACTTTCTCAGGGATTTCTGACCTTTTGAGTGTTTAAGGGGTTGTTCAGAGTGTCTCCATTACAATGAGTGATCTGAATCTGTTCATGGTACTTTCTTTTACAGTGTGAGACAGCTGCCTTCTGTGGGACTGAGCAGTACAGGATTTCTTTAGTTCATCCCTGCTCCCTACTGAGATTTCAAGAGGTTCTTACTTCTCTGGGCAGCTGGCATCTGTGTCTATGTGTCTATGTTCCTATCATCATCACTGAGGAAATGCAGAGAAGAGCACATCCCTGATCACCAAGATCCCTCCCCACACTGTCCTGTTCTCTTCCTTAGTCAACTTTCCTATGTAGCAGATGTGGGGCTGGGATGTCTCCATTTTTGATGTAGTTTCATGTTGCCCTGGACTGTAGCTTCTTCTTTCTCTACTGAAAATCGGAATCTGGATATTGATTTGTATTTCAAATTTATGCCACAAAATATGGTTGTGTGATAGTCAAGCCAAAGTGACTCCATTTTGTTTAGTAACTCCATTTTGTAAAACAACCTTCCAAATAGAAAGGGCATGACTGGGGCAAGTTGTTCTTTTTCTTTTACTATAGAAACCCTTAAGAACATGGAACTACCTAATGGGGCATTGTTTCTATAAGTAGCATAATGGGGCTATGTTTCTGTAATTGGGGTGACTGGGCTAATTGTGAATTGATTGGTTAAGCTACCTGCCACCTGACTGCACTCTCCCATTTCTGTAACCAGGCTTGCTTGCATTGGCTAGACCCCAAAATATCTCTTTTGTGGTTTTTAGGCTTATAAGGAGTGCCCTTGCAATTGTCTGGGGCTGATCAGGGGAACATTTTATGTTCTGGTCAGTCACCACTGGTGAGCTTCAATAAAGGCTTGATTCCATTATACCTGAGTGGTCTGGAAGCCAATTTATGAAACCCCAGGATGTTGCTTTAACTGTAACAGTTGATGGGTTAATTAAATGAAGATTTCTAAATTTCAAAGCGAAAATAAAGCCTGAAATCTCCTAGAATCCATGTTTGCTGTGCTGAGTCTGCTGAAGTGGGGACAGGAGATGACTGAAAGCAGCTGAGGGTGGACAAGGTGACACCCAATTTCTGCACAGTGCAACCTGGTCTGTGATAAGGACACTCCTCAGCTGGATCATCTTCCTGCTCCTTAGTCTTGTCCCTCCACTTGAACCTCATCCCACCAGGACCTGTGATGACAGGGACTCAAGCATCACCAGGGCTCATCCTGTCTCCAGGATCATGGGCAGGGAGGGCACCATGTTGTGGGGTCAGTATAGGATGAGACCTGAGTCTGACCTTCTGCTACCATCTTTTTTTGTTTCCCAGCTTCTATAGAGAATCATCCCAGTTCTTATTACTAAATATGATGTCTGGGCTCTTTCTCCTCTGGGTGTCTCTCATCATTGATAGCAGCAGAACTCTTTTTTTTTTTTCTGTCATTGTCCCAAAAATCCCAGAGCAGTCTCTTGGATTGTATTTTCCATCATCCCTCCAATATTTTTAAAGGACCCAGATTATGGGAATAGCAGAGAGGAAGGAGCTCATGATTTCTCATCCTAGATAAATTTCTCTTAGGGTTCTATCTATTCTGCAGTTTCACTGTCCTTAACAATACTAATCCTAGAACTTGCTCCATTACAGTTTCCTTGATCAATAAAACAGAGTCTAATAGATATTTCTTTTTAGCTGCAAAATATGACCCATTAGTCTAGGATCATCTTTCTTGAAGATCAAAACGTACTTGGGTGGAATGCAGGAGGGCTGGTGAGGAGGGAGGGAGAGCAGCACTTGTGAGAAAAGCCCAAATGGCTTTGACCTCAGACGGAGAAGCCCTTGCTCTGCAGATGCCCAGCAGCATTTGTTCTGAGGCTCCATTTATAAAGACAGAGTTCCTAGAAGAGGGAGGGCTACGCTGACCATTCATTCAGCTCTTATTTGTTGAGTACTGAAGAGATGACACACAGTTTGCACCAAGCATACATCAGGGAACTGAAAACAAACCAAAAGTGCCCCCCTTGTGGAGCCTGTGTTCTATAGGAAAGAGGAAGAAGACACACTCTAAGCACAGTAAATGAGGACAGTGTTCATGTTAGGTGGAAAGTGTTCCAGGGCAGGTCTCAGAGTGGGTGTGTGGGGACAGGGAAGATGACTGTTTTCCGAGGGTGCTCAGCATGGGACTTATTAGCAAGGTGACCTTTGGGGATAGATTTGAAGGGCATGAAGGAATTTGTCAGGATGTTTGGAGGAAGATCTTTCTAGGCAGGAGGAAGCTGCAGTGCAAATGCACCAGGGCAGGATCCTGTGTGTCCTCTGGGGAGAGCAAGGATCTGGGATGTCCTGAGTGGAGTCAGAGAGGAGCTCAGAGGCACAGTCAGTCGCTGAAGATCTGGATGTTAACAAAAGGAATTGTGCATCCAGTGAAGCAGTTTTGAGCAAAGACCGACATGGTGCATTTTTCAAAGCGTCATACTAACTGCTGAGCTGAGAATACAATTGAGATGGGAGGACTCTCAAGGTAGCAGGGAGTGTTCCAGCATCTGCCCTGGTGTCAGATTAAAAGCAGGAAGGAATCAGTAGTTCATGATGATTCCATTTATAGTAATGTGATGTTAAGGTTGCCCTTTCCCCTAAAATCAACTAAGAAGTTATAAAATGGAAAACACATCCAAAGATAGAGAAGTAAGAGGACAATTCGTTAGCTCAAAGTATAAAGCTAGGCAGAAATTCTTGGAGAAAAATTACACTTGTCCCAAGGCATTTGCCCAAACTGGAGAAAGCTTAGCTTTGATTTTTTCTTAATCTCAAGATCTATTACTGGGATAGATTCCTCTCAGAGGAACCAAATACCTGAAATAATTAACTTATAAAGAGGAAAGTAGAAACTAGCCAGAGCAATTATACAAAAGAAATTAAAGGAATAAAAATTGGAAAAGAAGAACTCAAACTATCATCATTTGCTAATGACATGAGTCTATATTTAAAAGATCCAAAAACTTCCACCTGAAATTTTCTAGAATTAATGAATGAATTCAGCAAAGTAGAAGGATATACAATCAATACCCATAAATCAAAGGCATTTCTATACATCAGTGATGAATACTCTGAAAGAGAAACTAGAAAACCTATCCCATTTACAGTAGCCTTAAAAAAAAATAAAATACTTGGGAATCAACTTAGTGAAAGAGGTGAAAGACCTCTACAATGAAAACTACAGAATGCTAAAGAAAGAAATTGAAGAAGAACTTATAAGATGAAAAGATCTCCCATATTCTTGGATAGGAATAATTAATATTGTCAAAATGGCCATACTACCCAAAGTATGATACAGATATAATACAATTCCTATTAAAATTCCAATGTCATTCTTCATAGAAATAGAGAAAATAATCATGCAATTCATTTGGAAAATAAGAGAACCAGAATAGCCAAAGCAATCTTAGCAAGAAGAGTGAAACAGGAGGCATCACAATAACAGGCCTTAAACTATACTACAGGGCAATAGTAACAAAAACAGCATGGTATTGGCACCAGAGTAGACATGGAGATCAATGGTACAGAATACAAGACACAGAGACAAACCCACATAAATACAGTTATTTCATACTAGACAAAGGCACCAAAAACATACAGTAGAGAAAAAATAACCTCTTCAACCAATGGTGGTAGGAAAACTGGAAAAATCTGGAAATGCATATGTTACAAAATGAAATTTTGCACAAAACTCAGAGTGGATTAAAGATTTAGGCACTAGAACAGAGACCCTGCACCTAATAGAAGAAAAAGTAGGCCCAAATCTTTATCATGCCAGCTTAGGACCTGACTTCCTTAACACAACTTCTAAAGCACAAGAAATAAATCAAGAATGAATAAATGAGATGGGTTGAAACTAAAAAAACTTCTTCTCAGCAAAGGAAACAATCAATAATACGAAGAGATAGCCTACAGAATGGGAGAAATCTTTACCACATGCACACCAGATAGGACACTAATCTCTGGTATATATAAAGAACTCAAAAAAAAACCCACCAAAATAATCCAATCAATAAATGAACTAAGAAACTGAACAGACACTTCACAGAAAAAGATATTATAATTGATCAACGAATATATGAAAAAGATGTTCAACATTTAGCAATTAGAGAAATACAAATCAAAACTACTTTAAGATTTTTACCTCACTCCAGTCAGAATGGCAATTATCAAGAACACAAGCAACA